GAGCAGCTGATGGATCTGGACTGTGTGTTGTTGTGTGTAGATCTGATCCAGGAGCAGCTGATGGATCTGGACTGTGTGTTGTTGTGTGTAGATCTGATCCTGGAGCAGCTGATGGAGCTGGACTGTGTGTTGTTGTGTGTAGATCTGATCCTGGAGCAGCTGATGAAGCTGGACTGTGTGTTGTTGTTGTTTGTAGATCTGATCCAGGAGCAGCTGATGGATCTGGACTGTGTGTTGTTGTGTGTAGATCTGATCCAGGAGCAGCTGATGGATCTGGACTGTGTGTTGTTGTGTGTAGATCTGATCCAGGAGCAGCTGATGGATCTGGACTGTGTGTTGTTGTGTGTAGATCTGATCCAGGAGCAGCTGATGGATCTGGACTGTGTGTTGTTGTGTGTAGATCTGATCCTGGAGCAGCTGATAGATCTGGACTGTGTGTTGTTGTGTGTAGATCTGATCCAGGAGCAGCTGATGGATCTGGACTGTGTGTTGTTGTGTGTAGATCTGATCCAGGAGCAGCTGATAGATCTGGACTGTGTGTTGTTGTGTGTAGATCTGATCCAGGAGCAGCTGATGGATCTGGACTGTGTGTTGTTGTGTGTAGATCTGATCCAGGAGCAGCTGATGGATCTGGACTGTGTGTTGTTGTGTGTAGATCTGATCCAGGAGCAGCTGATGGATCTGGACTGTGTGTTGTTGTTTGTAGATCTGATCCAGGAGCAGCTGATGGAGCTGGACTGTGTGTTGTTGTGTGTAGATCTGATCCAGGAGCAGCTGATGGATCTGGACTGTGTGTTGTTGTGTGTAGATCTGATCCAGGAGCAGCTGATGGATCTGGACTGTGTGTTGTTGTGTGTAGATCTGATCCTGGAGCAGCTGATAGATCTGGACTGTGTGTTGTTGTGTGTAGATCTGATCCAGGAGCAGCTGATGGATCTGGACTGTGTGTTGTTGTGTGTAGATCTGATCCAGGAGCAGCTGATAGATCTGGACTGTGTGTTGTTGTGTGTAGATCTGATCCTGGAGCAGCTGATAGATCTGGACTGTGTGTTGTTGTGTGTAGATCTGATCCAGGAGCAGCTGATGGATCTGGACTGTGTGTTGTTGTGTGTCGATCTGATCCAGGAGCAGCTGATGGATCTGGACTGTGTGTTGTTGTGTGTAGATCTGATCCTGGAGCAGCTGATGGAGCTGGACTGTGTGTTGTTGTGTGTAGATCTGATCCTGGAGCAGCTGATGGAGCTGGACTGTGTGTTGTTGTTGTTTGTAGATCTGATCCTGGAGCAGCTGATGGATCTGGACTGTGTGTTGTTGTGTGTAGATCTGATCCAGGAGCAGCTGATGGATCTGGACTGTGTGTTGTTGTGTGTAGATCTGATCCAGGAGCAGCTGATGGATCTGGACTGTGTGTTGTTGTGTGTAGATCTGATCCAGGAGCAGCTGATGGATCTGGACTGTGTGTTGTTGTGTGTAGATCTGATCCTGGAGCAGCTGATAGATCTGGACTGTGTGTTGTTGTGTGTAGATCTGATCCAGGAGCAGCTGATGGATCTGGACTGTGTGTTGTTGTGTGTAGATCTGATCCAGGAGCAGCTGATAGATCTGGACTGTGTGTTGTTGTGTGTAGATCTGATCCAGGAGCAGCTGATGGATCTGGACTGTGTGTTGTTGTGTGTAGATCTGATCCAGGAGCAGCTGATGGATCTGGACTGTGTGTTGTTGTGTGTAGATCTGATCCAGGAGCAGCTGATGGATCTGGACTGTGTGTTGTTGTGTGTAGATCTGATCCAGGAGCAGCTGATGGAGCTGGACTGTGTGTTGTTGTGTGTAGATCTGATCCTGGAGCAGCTGATAGATCTGCACTGTGTGTTGTTGTGTGTAGATCTGATCCAGGAGCAGCTGATGGATCTGGACTGTGTGTTGTTGTGTGTAGATCTGATCCAGGAGCAGCTGATAGATCTGGACTGTGTGTTGTTGTGTGTAGATCTGATCCAGGAGCAGCTGATGGATCTGGACTGTGTGTTGTTGTGTGTAGATCTGATCCAGGAGCAGCTGATGGATCTGGACTGTGTGTTGTTGTTTGTAGATCTGATCCAGGAGCAGCTGATGGAGCTGGACTGTGTGTTGTTGTGTGTAGATCTGATCCAGGAGCAGCTGATGGATCTGGACTGTGTGTTGTTGTGTGTAGATCTGATCCAGGAGCAGCTGATGGATCTGGACTGTGTGTTGTTTTGTGTAGATCTGATCCTGGAGCAGCTGATAGATCTGGACTGTGTGTTGTTGTGTGTAGATCAGATCCAGGAGCAGCTGATGGATCTGGACTGTGTGTTGTTGTGTGTAGATCTGATCCAGGAGCAGCTGATGGATCTGGACTGTGTGTTGTTGTTTGTAGATCTGATCCAGGAGCAGCTGATGGAGCTGGACTGTGTGTTGTTGTGTGTAGATCTGATCCAGGAGCAGCTGATGGATCTGGACTGTGTGTTGTTGTGTGTAGATCTGATCCAGGAGCAGCTGATGGATCTGGACTGTGTGTTGTTTTGTGTAGATCTGATCCTGGAGCAGCTGATAGATCTGGACTGTGTGTTGTTGTGTGTAGATCAGATCCAGGAGCAGCTGATGGATCTGGACTGTGTGTTGTTGTGTGTAGATCTGATCCAGGAGCAGCTGATAGATCTGGACTGTGTGTTGTTGTGTGTAGATCTGATCCTGGAGCAGCTGATAGATCTGGACTGTGTGTTGTTGTGTGTAGATCTGATCCAGGAGCAGCTGATGGATCTGGACTGTGTGTTGTTGTGTGTCGATCTGATCCAGGAGCAGCTGATGGATCTGGACTGTGTGTTGTTGTGTGTAGATCTGATCCTGGAGCAGCTGATGGAGCTGGACTGTGTGTTGTTGTGTGTAGATCTGATCCTGGAGCAGCTGATGAAGCTGGACTGTGTGTTGTTGTTGTTTGTAGATCTGATCCAGGAGCAGCTGATGGATCTGGACTGTGTGTTGTTGTGTGTAGATCTGATCCAGGAGCAGCTGATGGATCTGGACTGTGTGTTGTTGTGTGTAGATCTGATCCAGGAGCAGCTGATGGATCTGGACTGTGTGTTGTTGTGTGTAGATCTGATCCAGGAGCAGCTGATGGATCTGGACTGTGTGTTGTTGTGTGTAGATCTGATCCTGGAGCAGCTGATAGATCTGGACTGTGTGTTGTTGTGTGTAGATCTGATCCAGGAGCAGCTGATGGATCTGGACTGTGTGTTGTTGTGTGTAGATCTGATCCAGGAGCAGCTGATGGATCTGGACTGTGTGTTGTTGTGTGTAGATCTGATCCAGGAGCAGCTGATGGATCTGGACTGTGTGTTGTTGTGTGTAGATCTGATCCAGGAGCAGCTGATGGAGCTGGACTGTGTGTTGTTGTGTGTAGATCTGATCCTGGAGCAGCTGATAGATCTGGACTGTGTGTTGTTGTGTGTAGATCTGATCCAGGAGCAGCTGATGGATCTGGACTGTGTGTTGTTGTGTGTAGATCTGATCCAGGAGCAGCTGATAGATCTGGACTGTGTGTTGTTTGTGTGTAGATCTGATCCAGGAGCAGCTGATGGATCTGGACTGTGTGTTGTTGTGTGTAGATCTGATCCAGGAGCAGCTGATGGATCTGGACTGTGTGTTGTTGTGTGTAGATCTGATCCAGGAGCAGCTGATGGATCTGGACTGTGTGTTGTTGTTTGTAGATCTGATCCAGGAGCAGCTGATGGAGCTGGACTGTGTGTTGTTGTGTGTAGATCTGATCCAGGAGCAGCTGATGGATCTGGACTGTGTGTTGTTGTGTGTAGATCTGATCCAGGAGCAGCTGATGGATCTGGACTGTGTGTTGTTTTGTGTAGATCTGATCCTGGAGCAGCTGATAGATCTGGACTGTGTGTTGTTGTGTGTAGATCTGATCCAGGAGCAGCTGATGGATCTGGACTGTGTGTTGTTGTGTGTAGATCTGATCCAGGAGCAGCTGATAGATCTGGACTGTGTGTTGTTGTGTGTAGATCTGATCCTGGAGCAGCTGATAGATCTGGACTGTGTGTTGTTGTGTGTAGATCTGATCCAGGAGCAGCTGATGGATCTGGACTGTGTGTTGTTGTGTGTCGATCTGATCCAGGAGCAGCTGATGGATCTGGACTGTGTGTTGTTGTGTGTAGATCTGATCCTGGAGCAGCTGATGGAGCTGGACTGTGTGTTGTTGTGTGTAGATCTGATCCTGGAGCAGCTGATGGAGCTGGACTGTGTGTTGTTGTTGTTTGTAGATCTGATCCAGGAGCAGCTGATGGATCTGGACTGTGTGTTGTTGTGTGTAGATCTGATCCAGGAGCAGCTGATGGATCTGGACTGTGTGTTGTTGTGTGTAGATCTGATCCAGGAGCAGCTGATGGATCTGGACTGTGTGTTGTTGTGTGTAGATCTGATCCAGGAGCAGCTGATGGATCTGGACTGTGTGTTGTTGTGTGTAGATCTGATCCTGTAGCAGCTGATAGATCTGGACTGTGTGTTGTTGTGTGTAGATCTGATCCAGGAGCAGCTGATGGATCTGGACTGTGTGTTGTTGTGTGTAGATCTGATCCAGGAGCAGCTGATAGATCTGGACTGTGTGTTGTTGTGTGTAGATCTGATCCAGGAGCAGCTGATGGATCTGGACTGTGTGTTGTTGTGTGTAGATCTGATCCAGGAGCAGCTGATGGATCTGGACTGTGTGTTGTTGTGTGTAGATCTGATCCAGGAGCAGCTGATGGATCTGGACTGTGTGTTGTTGTGTGTAGATCTGATCCAGGAGCAGCTGATGGAGCTGGACTGTGTGTTGTTGTGTGTAGATCTGATCCTGGAGCAGCTGATAGATCTGGACTGTGTGTTGTTGTGTGTAGATCTGATCCTGGAGCAGCTGATAGATCTGGACTGTGTGTTGTTGTGTGTAGATCTGATCCAGGAGCAGCTGATGGATCTGGACTGTGTGTTGTTGTGTGTAGATCTGATCCTGGAGCAGCTGATAGATCTGGACTGCTTGTTGCCTCTGCAGTCACTGCTGAAGACGTCCTCTGCTGTGTGGAGAGAGTCAGCCGTCACACTGCTGTCTGCGCTGACGTCACACACACCGAACAAAGTGAGGTTTCCTCCACAGCGGGATCTTAATAATAATCATTGGTAAACATTAGTGGTGTGTGTCAGCTGTGAAGGGGTTAGATCATGGATTAATAACGACACAATGGGCTTCAGACATGAACGCCCCCTACCTAAGAACAAGAGCCACAGATTCAAGACATTTCTTTTATCATCTTTGTAGATTTTTGGCGACTCCTTGTGATGGTTTAGTCTCTTGTTTGTCATATCCTGTCTTTTCTGTTGTTTTAGTCTCTGTTTGGTCATTCTGCCTCTTTAGAGTTTGTATGTCTCTGTTGGTTGTCTTGTGTCTCTTAGTAGACATTGTTCGCCTCTTTGTGACACTTTAATGCATCTGACGTCATGCTTGCAAAACCTCATGACACAACGTGATGGACCTGGACTCAAACTAGTATTTGTCTTTTCTGTTTTGCTCTTTCTCTGTGGAATACAACTCAAAAGACATCCTTTATCTGTTTTGTAATTTGCCATAATCCTTCACCTTTTTAGATCCACTTAAGTCTGAGTTGTCGGTCATGATAACATCAGAGCACGTTTCCAGACTTGTGAAGTTATCGGGACAAACACAAAATCCTCAGTTATCGTACAACAGTGCGGCCGTCATCAGCAGACTGGAAATGACAGGTACATAATGTTCTGTGAAAGTATGACTACCTGATAGTAAACAGATTGATTTGATGAAACTGTGTGTCTTCATACTGTTTACCCAGGAGAGACGGTCCAGCTGCTGAAGCCTCACTACGTCACCATGCTGGAGTACCTGTCGGTGTTTCTCAGCAGCTTGGCATAGTGACGATATCCAACCTCAAGACAGGTTTGTATTCGTTCTACCCTAGGGTGTTACTTTGTGTTGAAGTTTTGCATCTCTTTTGGACTGTCATGTGTTTTACTGTTAATAGACATTTTGCATCCTTTTGTGGTCAATTTCTTTCATTTTTGTTATTTTGTTAATTGTTTTGTCCCTTTTTAGTAGTTTTGCATTTCTTTTTGGTCATTTTGCATCTTCTTGTAGACGTTTTGCATCTCTTATTAGACTTTTTGTGTCTCTTTATGGTTATATCCGGTCTCTTTTTGGTTGTTTTACGTCTCTTTGGCAGACATTTTGCATCTCTTTTTGTTATTCCTACTTCTGTCTTGTTTTGGCTTTTTTGGTAATCCTTTAATAATCAGTAGGCTAGGGGTTTTCCCCTTTTCTCTGTTACTTTTTTAGACGATGTAAATGTGTTTCTCCTATATTTTTACATGGTCTGCTGTGCGAAACAACCTTTCTAAAAGCGTCCTCATTATTTAGTTAACATTTCTTGATGCATTTTAAACAGTAGTGGGGACAAGATCCACCAAAAGCAACGCAAAGTACTGCAGCCATTTACACCATCTTATCATAGTAGATATTCTTAACAAATGAATCATTATCAGGCCTTGAAATCCAGGAGTTGTGAGTTAGGGACTCATGCTGGAGGTCTCTAGTCCGTCCTTTGGGGGTCTGTGAGCCGCCACATAGAGCCTGCATTTAAACAGATTCACCAGTTTATAACATTACTTTAGCCCTGATCAGAGCCCTGTTTTCTGGGTAAGACAGTGAGGTGCTGTACCCTGGGTCTCTGGGTCTCTGGGTCTCTGAGACCCTGCTAACAGCAGTGATTCTGCTGTTTTTAGCTCATTGTACATTTAACTAATTAAATATGATTAATATGTACATTATCCCGTCTATACTGACACATTTATGTCCATAACTCTGTATGTTTATTGAGTCCAATGTACACCGTCTAAAAACGACAATTATGACTGAATTAAAACAGTTTGACAGCATTGTAACACTCATGTAGCCATGTTTGCAGCCCTGTTCCCTGGGTAACAATTGAATTACCCTCTCCTGTTGAATTAAAACATTTCCCACGGCTTTAAACACTAATGTACCCATGATTCAGACAATTATTCCTGGGTAAATGTGTTATCTTTTCACCCTGGTCCTGAATTAAAACAGTTCCCCCGACTTTAAACACTAATGTACCCATATTTTGCCCACTTATTCCTGGGTTAATATATCATCTTTTCCCCCTGGGTGTGTGTGGCACCATCTGGTGGAACATTTGTGAATTACACTAAAATCCAAAACTTTAATGTTTTTTATCTTAGCGAAATAATGGTTTAATGACCCCAATGTAATGATCATTTATGATTCTGCAGATGTTGTCTACACGTGTATCACAACGGAGTGATTTGGAAAACTCGGTTAGCGAGGTTTATTTTGGTCAATATGAGATGCACTGTTTTCATGTCCCATGTACATGTCTGTACATATGGCCTCACGCACTACTAACATATACTAACGGAGAGTAAAGTAACGAGAAAGTAACACACACACACCTGAAGCTATTATGTTTGATTTTGATTGATTTTACATCTTCCAATTTTTTCTTTCAGACGCAGATGCATGGTTGTCGTGTGTGTGTGTGTGTGTGTGTGTGTGTGTGTGTGTGTGTGTGTGTGTGTGTGTGTGTGTGTGTGTGTGTGTGTGTGTGTGTGTGTGTGTGTGTGTGTGTGTGTGTGTGTGTGTGTGTGTGTGTGTGTGTGTGTGTGTGTGTGTGTGTGTGTGTGCAGGTGTTTTCACAGTAGAAAGAGGCTTTGCAGGACGAGCAAACACACACATGAACGTTTGAAGGTATTCCTTTCTACAGGAGGAACAGACCTGTGCACACGGCGGTGAGAGCATGAGAAACAGAACGAGATGAAAGACGAGAGAAAACAGACGTAAAGGAGAGAGGAAGAAGGAGGAGGAATATTAAAGGCAAACACACGAGAGAAATGGAAGTGAGCGAGGATCATCAAATAAATGACCACCACATACTCTGAGGGTATTCACCCCCCGTCACATGAGACACACTGACTGACTTTAATTAGTATTTATTCAAGTCAGAACTCAACATGTTCTCTCTTCAATACTCATGACAATAATATATTTAAAAAAGATCGACATATATTCTGTCTTTTTCTCAAAAAATAAATCTCTAAATATTCAGATTTATGTTTCACTCACAAAAAAATAGCTCAACAGAAAAAAAGTGCAAAAGAAAACTCAAAACACAGCTACAAATATATATCTTTTATAATATTTAAATATATTTCAAAATGTTTTCCAACTATTTCCAAATGTATTTTCACCCAAAAGTCTCCAAATGTTCAGATAAAAAAAAGAAATTCCAGCTTTCAATTAAAATGTTTCCGATGATTCTGAATCAGAACATGTCAGAAGACTTTGAAAACATAATAATAATTGTGTTCTGTGATCAACATGCTGTCACCATGAGCGATGAAGAGTCGACCCACAAAAACAACCTTTACAGTTTGAACAAACAGACGCTCTGCAGACAGTCAACAAGGATCCAACAAACAACGACAGGACACCAGGTGATCAATCAGGTGATCAATCAGGGGATCAATCAGGTGATCAATCAGGAGGGAGAACACAGGAAGTGAAAACAGACATCACACAGGTGAACACTCTTCAAAATAAAACAAGAAACAGATCATGACACCTATTCACCTGTAGTGTTTCTGTTTTATTAAAGGGGGACAGATTTAGACGAAACACACGGGAGGAAATTATCTTTGGGTGCGTCTCACTTCGGTTATTTTTCATTTCCTCGCTCCTCGGGCTCAGTATCACTGGAAGTTGATTTGTCTGCGCCATCGTGAGTAGCGTCCCAGTGGCCTTATTTTTGCCGGACGAGGAGCGATAATCGAGGAACTACCAGACCATCCACCGGTGAAATCCTCAGACACTCGCCCCGCCCCCTTACTGTGTATCGCTCACTGATTGGACGATGCAGCGCATGCACTGATCTGGCTGCTGTCAGACGATCAGCTGTGCGGCGTCATCACAACCGGACGTCGCTTCACGTGACGCTCCGGAGGAAACGACGTCCCATTGCTCTTAAAACTCATTTCCCTGCTTCTCGTGGTTTCCTTGCGTCTCTCCATGCTTCCTGGTGGGAGGGACTAGACGCAGGGAAACGACGCAAGTGAGGGACGCAAGGAATCCATTTAACCGAAGTGAGATGCAGCCTCTGTGATGTGAGGTAGTGCGCTGCGTTCAAATCCTGTGGGAATGATGAGAGACATGCAAACACTCCCATGTCGACGCAGTGATGAATTAAGCCTTGAACTGTGAATGTAAACCAACGACCTGCAGAGCAAATCAGATATTAAATACAGGATGAATAACAACGGATTCCTCATTCCTCATTCATACAACTGTAACTTTACTTTAACGCCACTTCCTACTTTGACTGGAAGCTGCACTTCCTTTATCTCACAGCTTTCATTTCTACGTACAAAAACAGACCAAGAGCTTAGAAAATGTTTTGTTGTGTGTAACTGTATACACACTAACCCATACATTTACACTGCAATATCCAATGGAGGAATCCCATTGGCTCTCTATCGAGGGTCCTTCCGGATCTGGCCATAAAAATACGTCACCCCTGCACCACCGTAACCCCCCGTTAAAAACCTCACATTCATATTATTGATGAAATCTTTCTTTGTGTTTTAGCATTTGTTATCTTTACGTTGCACATTAATGTCTCTCAGTCCTGTGATGCTCGTCACGTCTCATTTCATCATCTGACAAATCAAATAAATAATCCTTTTCAGGCTTTATGCGACTGTAAACCCTGCTGTGTGTGTGTGTGTGTGTTTGTTACTCATACTCACTGAGGCCCTGTGAGAACAGAACCACAGATTATTAGCAGATATATATATATTTTTAAATGTTGTCTTACTTCATTGATTTTTTCTCGCGGCTCAGTTATCAACACACAGGCCTGTTGCCTTAGTGCTTAACCTTTTAAATAAGAAATAAAACATACATTTGAAGTGCTTTTTGACGCTTTATTATTTATTCTGTCTTATTTAAGCATTATAAAGATATATACCTTCACCTGTGCACGAAGAGCCAAAATAATAATCACTCAAAAAGGTGCAAAACCAACTCAAACATGTACGGGGAAATGCGACTACATCTGGATTTTGGAACCTGGAACGCTCAGGTTGTGGAGGTGAAGAAAACAAACGCTCCACGATCAGGATCTGAAATATGTTTGATACAAATATGTAATAATGCAAGTTTAGTTGTTTAGTTGGTTTAGTTGTTTGTGTTTCCCTAAGTTTACTAGTCATTTACAGTGGCGAGCCGTCAGGGCCCTCTAGGCCCTCTGTGAGGGCCTAAGATATTCTAAAAAATAATATTTAAAAACATTTAAAAAATATATATTTTTTTTAAATATATATTTTTTTAATATTATTTTTGTTATATTTTTCATTAGTTTTACCGAAAAAAAACTTGATTTAATTGTATTTAAAATAACATTTCCAAAGAAATAAATCCTTTGAATCTGCCTGTTCAGTCTCTGTTCAATGTGAAGGGTTACATGAAAGAAGCTCGTCTGGCCCTCTCTGTGATTCACAGAGGGTTGCTATAGTAACTGAACGAGAGAGTAATGTCAAATGACAGTACAATTGACCAATCATATCTTCCCTCTAAATGGGTGGGTTTTATTATCGCGGACTTTATGACAAGTTCCGCCCGCTGTGAAGCTTTTCTTGTTTCCATAGCAACAACAACTTCCTGTCAACAGCGTGAACTCGCCTTCAAAATAAAAGCATGCCAAATTACACTTAAGACATACAACTGTAACGAAAGTAACAAACACAATGCAATATCATTTTCAATGTCAAAGAACACAAATTGGGTTCACAGGTGTTGTTCTGTGTGGTAGAGGGTCGCTGTCATTGATGCGTTTTGCACCCTGGGCCGTTGTTTTGATATTCCGCTGAAGTATACGCTGTGACGTAATAACTTTTTTTTTTCTATTTTTCGAGGGAAGGGGTGGGGGTCAGAGGGCCTAGGTATAAAGCTCACGGCTCGCCACTGGTCATTTATTTTTGGTCAAATACAATACACTGGAGCGATTTTGAGTTACTTCAAAAATAACACAGGAAGGCCCGATCCAACACAAAGACGGGTCTAAAACTTGTCTTTGTGCACGACCAAAATACATTTGTATTTGTTTTCCTCGCCTCCACAACCTGAGCGTTCGTTTCTGCTTCAAATGAAGAAGAACATCCAGATTTACAGCAGAAAGTAAAATACAGAAATAGTAGTTTGTGTCACTTTTCCCCGTACATGTTTGAGCTGGTTTTGCACCTTTTGAGTGATTCAAAACTAGGTTCTTGCACAGGTGAAGGTATATATCTTTATAATGCTTAAACACGACAGAATTAAGCGTCAAAAAGCACTTAAAATACATGTTTTGTTTATTATTTAAAAGGTTAAGCACTAATGCAAAAGGCCTGTGTGTTGATAACTGACACAAACTAATGTATAAATAAAAATGTAATTATCTTTCAAGACATATATTGCTCTTTAAATATACATATTGTTCCATGTACTGTATTTTTCATATGGATAGTAACTCTTCTTTGATAATATTGTGTGTATATTTTGTATGATGTAAACATTAGTATGCAGTTTGCGACACGCAGCGCTAACAGTAGCAGCATTAGCTCCCCGAGGTGCAGATGATGTGTTCACTGACCGAGCGTAATGTTAGCTCAGCGGGGAGGAAATGTAAAACTGACACCCTATGGAAACACAAGAGGGACAAAATAAATGTTATCTCAGATCGTTCCTCAGAAAGTCACTGAAACAGAGTGTCTCTGCTGCTGAGAGAGGAACCATCACACACTCTCAACACGTTGGGACCACTTCTTAAATACATGATTCCAAGAAATACAATTATAGATTCAGATAAACCTTTATTTTAATATGTTCTACGATGTTTTCTGAAGCGAGGTATCCATGCCTAACACGGAAAAACATCAATTAGCATGGGTCGTGTTTCAGTGAGAAACTCAGCTCAATGTGAAACCTGAGCCATCTGTCTGACACACACACACACACACACACACACACACACACACACACACACACACACAGCTGTGTGTGTGTGTGTGTGTGTGTGTGTGTGTGTGTGTGTGTGTGTGTGTGTGTGTGTGTGTGTGTGTGTGTGTGTGTGTGTGTACTGTAGGCATTGTATCCTTCAAGTTGCCCATTATATTTTTCTAAATACAGTATCGATCCCCCTCCGCTCCGGGCTGTTTTTCAGGATCAAATATCAATCTGATCCGGAGTCAGTATTTCAGTGTGAAAGGTACAATCCATCAGGCAGAGGTCAGAGGTCAGCGCTATCTGTGAGGCCGCTGCAGGACTTATTAAGATGTCAATCAGTTACTGAAGAGGTGTGTGTTAATACCTGTCCATCTGTCACATGATGGACAGGTATTAACACACACCTGCAGGCGGGAGTGTGTGTGACGCTCGGCTGGAAGACTGAAAACACACACATGTAAATGTGAGATGGTGTCTCTGTCTCTCTCTCTCTCTCTCTGTCTC